TTGTGACAACTACATGTAAATTCTCAAACCATGAGAAGATCTGGGCTTGGGATGCTTAGAGACCTGTTCACTAGAGAAACATCCATTTAATCCCTGCTTCTTAAAGACAGAGTCGCTCCGGCCTGGGGATGCTAAGCTGGACTGTAGAGATGATAGGAGAGGGGGAAAATCTGGGGAAAGTGAGGAAGAGAATAACACAGCACAGGGCTTTGTTCCCCAGATGCTTAGGGCCGGATGACACAGGGGAACATGGGGGCCATCTACATACTTAAAAAAAGATATGGAGGAATAAAATCCAAAGGGGGGGGGCAGAAGAATGCGGTCGCTATGAGTAGCAAAACACCTTGGAGACAGGAGCAAAGTCAAGCAGCCTGTCTCATTAAACATTTATTACCCTGCTTAAATCTGTTTGAAGCACAGAAATACATGAAATACTACACAGGCTAGGATCTGCTCTTCCCCCAGCCAGAATGCTGAGGCTAACGTAAATCTGATTGGCATGCAGTTGAAATATGTGACTGTTTTTCCTTGATGTCAGCTTTTAACATTGTCAGTATTACAGGTGAGTCCATTCCCAAAAGTCTTGGTGGACGCTTCCCGTAATTCACAAAGTTATCCAAATGCTTTCAAGCAAATAGCAACAGTGCCCTTTATGAGCATGATACAAAAGTCTTTAATCTACCAAAAAAAAAAAAAAAGAAATTAGAACTCTCTGCTTTACCCCAAGCAGCAGAGAATTCATTAACCCTTGACTCAGGAAGTGAACAAAGCCTTTCTCACTGGCCTGCAGGACAGTGTGCTGGCAAGCTCGGAGCTGCAGTCCCTCAATTTCACAAGTGCTGTCATTTTCATATCTTATTTGTCATGCTTTCTTCGCTCAAAAAAGGTTTTACTAAGTTTACATACTAACATTAAAATAAATTTCATGACAAAAACTCATCCATCGGCCTGCCATTACTCTAAATATCTTTAAAATGTCTGCAGACATGTGGAATTTGTACTCCTAATCATAGCATATATAGTGGAATGGAACCACACTTTTTTAAAGTCTGAACTTAACCTGGCAATATGAACTGCCAAACTTCCCCAGCTTGCTTATTTAATTCACGCTTATTTTGAGACATAAAACTGAGCACTAGACATGAAAATTGAGTTGATTTTTTCCCTAAATCCACGCCCCAAATGGCATATACCATTTTGGTATTTTGGAGACATTTCATAATTCACTTTTCTATACCGATTTGCAACTTACCTCTTCCCCAGACAAGTAGTACGCTGACAGCAGTCCACCGACGAAGCGTATATTTACTTCAAAAACAGAAACCTCAGCATTCTATGGAAAGAAAATGACGGAGGTGTAAACATAATGATAGCACACGGAATGACAGCACATGCTATGATAAGCCATAGTAATTTCAAATCTGTTTAAACCTGCATGCTTGCCCAGGGGCACCTACAGACAAGACAGAAAATCCCCTGTACATAGTGTCAAAATATGGTTAGACAGATAAAAATAATTTTGACTCAAAGTAAAATTATAAAAAGACTACAAACTGGAATTCTTTGTCTTGTATGCGAAGCAGGCCCAATACTTGATATTCTGTATCTGTACAAATGCAATGGGAAGAGGGCTTTTATTACTATTTTTTCCCCATTCTGTGTTCTCCTTACTTCACTCATTTGCCTGCTTTTTCTTCCTGAAAGGCCAATCAGACTGTGGTGTGGCTGCCAGCTCCACACGAGGCTAGCAATCTTTTCCCATTATGTTAAAGCGGCACGGACAGATTGCTAATGGGATGTAAAGCCAGGGGCTTGAGTTCCAGTGCTGCTCTCTGCCTTTGCTTTCCCACAGTCCCAGCCCTGAGATGACATTCTACCTTGGCATGAAGGCGATAATAAAGGGAGTCGTCATTGCTGGCACGGTTCTCATTAATATCAATAGTAATTCACTTTTATTATTTACAATGTAGCAGAGGCTTTGGCCTCTTTTAGCCTTCAGACTGATCTTCGGGATTAATTACTACTCTATGCCCAGTCTACGGATGGAGAAACAAGCCAGGCTTACAGTGACTAATGTAACCTTTTGAAGTTTGTTCACACAACAGCAATAGAATTTGGATTTGAATGGGAGTGTGCTTATTCATGGTTCAAAACTTGGCTATTCTGACCTCTACAGATACCTCACAGACTATGTACCATGTCTTATTATTAATGGTCGAATAATTGTGATGCGTCAGTAGTAATTACTGCCAATAGTTTTATGATTCTATAATATTTGACTTCTGAGTTCATCTGTCTTGTAGCTTGTAATTAGGTTATTAGCACAGATGACCTCCAGTAGATATAAGGTATACTTCATTGGGCCTACTAAGTAACTGTCACTTCTGTTCAATACCAAACCACTCACAGATGAAGACAAGGGCTAGGAGCAAACTAGAGTGTATGGAGCCAGCATCTGGCAGCCGAACTTAGAAAATCATCTGAGACAGTTACCATCTTTAGGGATTGTTTATTGAGTAACTACTACGTGGCAGGCCCAGTCCTATGTACTATGAACACAGCAGTGAAAAAAAGACAAGATCCTCAAACTGGCTGAGTCTACATTGTAGAAAACATTTTCAGAAACAAGACATAAATTATTTTGTTCCTACGTGTTCTCCCTCAGAGGATATAGTGATCAAATAATGGAAGCTCCTACATAAGTTAAAAATTCCTGCAAAAGAAAGCTTATGAAAAGAAGTTAAGAAGTTAGAGAGAACCTTTGGATAAAGTTGGATTAAACCATGCTCTGAGTTTGTTTAACTGTACTGATTATTCGTGATATGCAGCTTAACTATTTTGATTAAATACCCTCTATGTTGTGCATCTTATCACGGAAGGGTATCACATTGAATGGGGATCATTTAAACACTGCTGTCAGCCCATACAACATCTGACAAAGAACAGGGAAATACTTATTAATTTAGTTTGGCTCACACAATTTATCTCTCATATCTAAGAGAAATAATGTCTAATAAAATCTAATGATTCTAAGTCCTTAAATCATATTTGCCTCAGTTTGTACTTATATATTTTAGCTTTAAAACCAGAAATCAGGTCCTCCTAGTTTCACTTATTGAAGCACACCGAGATGCTTTTCTTTCCTTATTCTGGCTTTGGGCTCATTACATATGCTATCCCTATTCCTCCCATGAAAACTTTGGATAGTCAAGACCTTTCTGTAGACACCTGATAAAAATTATTGCAAGGTTGGGGACTGAGTCATGTCAACTGAAATCAGAAATATATCTCAATCTAGACATCAATCACTTATTGGATGCAGTTACTCAAGCAGCTATTGATCCAGCTCTGTGTGTATTCCAGACCCTGCATTCTATTTATCTTGGTCTGCTAGAAGATACTGAAAGATAACCTTGCAAAGGGTAGTGCTCAAGGTCAGTGTCTATGACATTTGAGTTGCAGGGACTGAATCATCTAGGGAGCTCAAGGCAAAGTCTGGATCGTTGAAGCCATGCAGGTTCCTAGTGATTAGGATGTCCTTGTCTTTGAAACTCTTGCTCAAGAATATCCAGCATCACAATTCTTAACTGTCATCATCTTTCTGTGCTTGGAAACTAGAACTACATCTGAACACACAGCCATTTAAAATTCCTTCGGCCTCAGGATATAAGATTAACTCAAAAAAATCGGTAGCCCTACTATATACAGACATTAAAGGGGCTGAGAAAGAAATCAGAGAAACATCACCTTTTACAATAACCACAAACAACATAAAATATGGGGTAATGCTAACCAAACAAGTGAAAGACCTGTATAGAAAGAACTATAAGTCTTTAAAGAATGAAATGAAAGAAGATACCAAAAAATGGAAAGATCTCCCATGCTCTTGGATAGGTAGAATCAACATAGTAAAAATGGCAATCTTTCCATAAGCAGTCTACGGTGGACATAAAACTAGTCTGCACAGGTACTAAGAGAGGCTCATAACCAAGGCATACTTTTTCTATGCCCTAAAGTACTCACCTCCTGATATGTTCATGTAAATTCAATTACACCATCTATTTTATTAAACTTATAGTTTTATGTCAACTTGACACACACTAGTGTCACTTGAAAGCAGGGAACCTCAGCTGAGAAAATGCCTCCATAAAATCAGGTTGTAAGCAGGTCTGTAGCACATTTTCTTAATCACTGATTGATGGCAGAGGGTCCAGCCCTTAGTAGGTAGTACTCACCCAGTCTGGAATAGTAGTCCTGGAGTCTATAAGAATGCAAACTGAGCAAGCCATTGGAAGCAAGTCAGTAAGCAGCATTCCATTGTCAGCTTCTGTCTGGGCTTCCCCCAGTGGACTGTGACCCAGGATACATAAGCCAAATAAACCTTTTTCTCACCAAGTTGCCCTTGGTCATGGTGTTTCATCACAGCAATAGTAACCCTAAGAAAGAAATTGGTACCAAGATAGTGGGGTATTGCTGTGACGGACATGACCATATTGTTTTGGGGAGGACTGTGGAAGGACTTTGGAACTTGGGGGCTAAAAAATCCATTGAGTACTCAAAGCTTGGTGAGCTGTTTTATGGGAAGTTGGAAGATGAGCATTGAGAGAATTGCAGATGATGGAGGCCTGGTTTGTTAAATTCCAGAGGGAATTTTGAGAGTCAATTAAAGACTCTACTGGGCTGTTGCTTATTTTGAATTAAGAATCTGTGGTTCTTGTTAGCTGGTGTTGAAGAACTGGCTAAAGATACCAGAACCACTAACGTGAAACCTTTGCTTTGCCGGAATAATCAACTCTGGCCAGCTGGAGCTGAGAAATTAGCCGTGATTAAAAAGAGACTGGCATTGCAGGGGTGCAATCTTCTGGGAAGTGTTTCCTCAGAGTTATCACAAAGAAGCTGTGTTCCAAAGGCGGTCAAGATTGTACCTTGTGCTGGCAGCCATACTCACTAGCGTAAAGGTCACCCAGGTGGTACTGGTTTTGAAGGCATGAAAGGGTCAAGGAGAGCAGCTGAGGCTTGGCACTGTGTGGCAGGTTGGGGTACTTTAAGAGAGCCCAGGAAATGCTATTGAGTAAAAGTTCAGCCCAGCTGCAGCAAGAGACCCCAGCATTTTGGAGATACCAGTACTATGGGATGGCCACCAAGAAAAGCAGCAGCCTTGGAGTGGAGCCAGCCTGAACTTAGGAGACAATCTGTGTGGGTTGTAGAGAGTAGAGCCAGAGAAGTGATCCCAGCACTTTGTAGGAGACCAGAGGCGGTGAGTGGAACCTGGATATTGGACATTGAATTATTTACATTGTTGGAGTTTGGTTTGGTTTTATTTAGATTGCAACTGTGCTCTGACTTTTTCCCTCTTGAAGTAACAAAGTATTTAATGCATTTTCCATTCTACCAAAGCTCACATTTGAGAGACTTTGGACTTTTAAAGAGATACTGGAATTTTATAGACATTTTGGGTTTCAGTAGACACTAGATATTTTTTAAATGACTATAGTTTTGAGTATTTAAAATTTTAGTCTGTGGGTCTTTCAAAAATTTGAATGTTACATTGTAATGTTGATAATGATATGTGATCTTGAGGATGAACAAGAAAGGTTGTGACTTAACAGTGATATATTTGTGTGTCAAGTTGATGAGGGCTAGTTTTATGCCGACTTGACACAGGCTAGAATAACTCAAGAGGAGGGAACCTCAGTTGAGAAACTGTCTCCATAAGATCAAGCTGTAGGCAAGCCTGTAGGAATTTCTTAATTAGTGACTGACTAGGAGGTCCAGCCTATTGTGGGTGGTGCCTGAAGTAGTGGTTTTGGGTTCTATAAGAAAGCAGATTTAGTAAGCCAGGAGGAGCAAGCCAGAAAGCAGCACCCCTCTACAGCCTCTGCGTTGGCTCCTCACTCCAGGTTCCTGCCCAGTTTGCCTTCCTGCCATGGCCTCCCTCATTGGACTGTGACTAAAGATTTGTAAGCCTTACCTCCCAAGTTGCTTTGGGCCATGCTGTTCCATCATGGTAATGGTAACTATGACTAGGTCAGTACCTAGTCCCTTAGTCCATTAAGTTCCATCTCAACTTCATGAATTATCTTACTTTTTCTTCACCAATATATAAGACATCTACGACTATGAGATAAATTGACAAAGATTGCTAAATTTGGGGGGTAATATGTTCTCCTCTCCTAATCCTTAAATTAATATCTTTCCCCATAGCTGTGCTGGGAAAAGTTTCATTCTAGTCAACAGATCAGGAACCCATGGCTGTGAAGACTAATAACAATTTGGTGACAAATTAAGTGAACCCCTCAGTACTCTTTAAAATGAGCATGTGAGAGACTCTCACTAGGCAAGACAGCATTTTGAAGAGCCCAAGAAATTAGAGTTTGGTTTCATTTTTATAAGCAACTTAAGCATCAGAATTACCCATAGCATGATATTTAATAGAGCCCAATAAATGAAATTACAAGCTTGACCAGGAGAATAAAAAGATATGATAGTTCTAGAGCAAGCTAGGCCCAGCTACCATTTGCCTGAGAAACTACAAAGCCATAAGCTTCCTTTGAGAAGGTAATTTATTTCCTTGAGTCTGCAGGGCATAAGAGAGCTGTTTATAATAAAGCTTGTTCAAACTTTAACTATTAGGATTCTACACAGCACAGTATTTTCATTAAGTTGAAACGATCTTTTGGAAGAGAACATTTGATCCCTAAACTCAGAAACTCTTCTTTTACCAACAACCAACTCATACACAGATATCAGTAAGAACGGGGTTCCTTTTCTAGTATGACACTCAACAAACACATAAGATTCAGTATTAGCTGTTACACTGCAAATCAGTGCAATGACCGTGACTAATAATTTCTTCACTACAATCCATTGTAGTAATTATGTCCAGGAGTAATGCTAAGGTGCCCACATACATGGTAACACTGCTTTGTTCAGAAAACCTTGCAAGGCCTCTAGCTAAAGGAATTGCCTGTGTGTCTGGTCTGTGTTTACTAGTAATTATGCCTTCTTAAAGAATGCTACTTCAAAAAAAGAAAGAAAGCTACTTCAGAATATCTGTTGCTTCACACTTCATGGATTAAGAGTATATGGGAAACGTAAATTGCAGTAGTGTCTACTGTTCCTCACTGTGTGTCCTTGAAGCTCTTAGCTTCATAAATAGAATACATTTCTCAAGACTGTTAACATTGTTTAAACTCTTAAAGCTACAAAGACAGACAGGTAAACGTGCTGCATGTGTTAATAGGCTCGTCTTGCTATGAAGGCCCAGAAAGGATCCAAGTAGCAGCTCAAATCTATCAGTAATCACTACTAGAGAGTCAAGTTCTTATTAAGGTCATGACCTAAATAATTACCCCTGACCAGGTACCCTTAGCCAGGCACCCCAAGCATCAAATGGTAAACACCCCATGAGTCCGTTCAACAGGAAAATTAGTGATCTGCACCAATCAGGATGTAATTCTGCTTTAAAACAAACCTTTCCTAGGAGTAAAGTTAAGGCAAATGTCACTTCTTTCATGCTTCACAGCATGGAACTGTGGGGCAGGTAGCCAAGCATTCATGCAGGCATGTGGGAACACACAGCATTGGGGTTAAAGGGGACACACATCTTTCCCAGAGGACTCTCCACAGCTTGTTTGGCATGCATATTTAAAGCGGAAACCTAGGAGCATGTTTAGAGTGTAGATCTTTACATTTAAAAACAAAAGTTACCTTGCCACCAGCACCTCTGTCATGTAAAATGTGTGGGAATCATTACATCACATGGCACTTGGCTGACCTTCACCAGCATCCATGTCAGTGTCTGGAGCAAGCTAATCTACTCTATTCTTGTCTTTAGCCAAGAAAGCCCCAGCTCCCACACCAAGTACTATGTAGCTGCAGTTCTGAACGACATTGTAAGGACAGCTTTTATCTAGCATTCGTGTTCAGAGACTTCGTGTAAGGAAAAATTTTCTACAGGTTCTATAAAATTTGTTACTAAAGATAATTTTCAGTACTTCTAGTTAATACAGTATGTTTTTTCAAAGTGGCAATATGAGAGCTCACAATTGAATTGAGTAGCACTCATGCAGGAACTGTGCCATTTTTCTTACTTTAGCATGTTCCTGTGACAGGAGCCACCACAAACCTTCGTGTGGGTAGCTTAATGCCGTGTAGATCACCCGTACTTACATTCCAGCTATATAAAAATGACTTAGCACAAGCTACCACTGTATTCCGTGGGCAGTCCTTCCAACGCAGTCTCCCACACTTAGCCAGGAACTAGGACAAGAGAGACAGCTGCTCTGTTTCACAGGCATTGATTTAATTCTTACTACATGGCAGAATCTAATAAGCACAGTGATATGAAGATTACATATCTAAGTCCGAGACTCAGATTCTTAGGATGTGTATGGATTTCTCAATTCTTTGTATTTCCTCACCACTGATAAACAGGGTGAATGAATTAGGTAGACCTTGTTCACCATAGCTTCCGTTTGCTGCATAACCTTGGGAAAATGAATTAACTACATTCACCTATGAAAGTAAATACCACCACTCTTCATCTATAAAAGTAAAGAAATACGAGTACCTATGCAAAATCAGCATCAATCAATCAATCAATCAGCCATCACCAGGTGCTAACCTCTTACAGCTCCCCTGCCTGTCTCCCCTTTCTCCTCATTTTCCTCCCATGACCCAGCTTCAGCTAAGGAGTCCTTTTCTCCTTCTAGAGAAACCCCTGAAGCACTGACCCTCAGGAAGAGCTTGGTAAATAATTAGCATATGAATGAATGGGTAATGAATAAATAAGAGTCTAGATTTTTTTTAATCCTAGGCTTACACTGAATTGAAATCAGGAAGATCATCAGAGGCCACTAAACATTTTCCATCTCATCTGTACACCTGAGGATGAGGTGGGGCCCCAGCTCTTACTCCCTAAATCGCATTAACCCCTGATGACTCATTTAAAAACAGTCATAAAAGACACTTGGATTTTGTGCTACCAAATGAATCAACTTGTTAGGATTTTGTGAATGGCAGTGCAAACCCATTGGAAAGCACTTGCTGAAGTAAATTTTAAGTGATATAAACAGTATTCTGCATGCACACAAATTTACTCTCAACTGCAGGACTTATTTACACTTAGGAACTCTAGAACTAAACCCCCAAGAATAGTGTTTCTATCTCAGTTCTATGTCTTCTTCCCTTGCAGTAGCATTGGATACACTTATATGCATTACATGTCAAAATAAGCAATAACAACAACACAATAAATCCTTGGACTTTCAGTTTAAATACTTTATAAGGAAAAGGTGTTAATTTAAATGCAGGCAATGATATGTCCTCTAGGCTACAATATTACATGTTATCCTTAAAAATGAAATACATTTGTTCTATTTTAGGTAAGGTTTATTGTTCCCCCTCTAACACGAATGCAAAAATAAATTCTCCATGTTTTTTGAAGGAAAACCAAGCAGTCACTGAAACATCACTTGAAGCTCTGTATTGAGTGTGAAAATGTAAGATAAATTCTCACATGTGTTTTATAAAACTAACTAGAAAACACCGAGGTAAAGAACTGTATCATGCAGGGAAAAGAAGAAAAACAAAACAAAACAAAACATATACCTAGCTGTGTGTTTGTGGTGCACACCTTTAATCCCAGCGCTTGGGAGACACAGGCAGGAGAATCTACAAAGGCTGGCCTTGCCTACAAAGCAAGTTCTAGGACAGCCAGGAACTTGCTGTTATACAAAGAACAACTGTCTTGAAAAACAAAAAACAAAAAACAAACCAACAAAAAAAAAAAAAACCCCAACCCTTTCCCCTCCCCCGTAAAACCAAACCTATATACTCTTCTTGAAATTATGAACTACTCTTTTTAATATGAGAAGCTGTAACTCGATATTATTGACATATGTGTTAAAACAAAAAGGTCTCATATAGCCCAAGCTGACTTGAACTTTGTATATACCCAAGACTGGCCTGGAAATTCTAACCCTCCTGCCTCTGTCTCCTGAGTGCTAGGATTAGCAGGCATGTGCCACCATACCCAGTTTTTATATGGTGCTGGAGACTGAACATAGGACTTTGTGAGTACTCTACCAACTGAGCTATACTTTCAACCTGATAATACATGTCTTATGGGGAAATATGGTAATATTTGTTGATGGAAACAGGCACAGTAAAAAATTCTAGTCTTCTCTTGCTATGAATAGTATAAGGCTAGGGAGATGGCTTAGTGGGTAAGTGTACTTGCTTTGCAAACATGAGGATGTGAGTTCAAATCTGAAGCACACATATAAAAAGCTGAGCATGGATGCACACACATGTTAGCAGAGTGTAGAAGTGGGTAGGCTAGGGTGGGGTCACAGTCACAGGAGTTTACTGTCAGGCAGCCTAACCAAAATGGCCAGCTTCCAATCCAATGAGAGACCCTGTCTCAAGGCAATTGGCGGGAATGGATAAAGGAAGACACCCAGTGTCCTGCTGTAGCTTCTCATGTGTGTTGTGTGTCTCTCCACACATATACAATACATACCACAACACACACCCACACACACCCACACCCCCACACACAGAGAGAGAGAGAGAGAGAGAGAGAGAGAGAGAGAGAGAGAGAGAGAGAGAGAGAGAGTGAGAGAGAGAGAGAGAGAGAGGATAATGAACAGAAATTCAGGACACATGGCTACAATTTTTAGAAGTATGTTTTGAAAAGCATAGTCTGATTATCAATAGTACTAAAATGTGTGCTTGGAGTAAACTTAAATGCTTAAAAGTCAACATCTTAATAAATATTTAATAATAGCTTAACTCCTTTACTCTGTGAGCAAAGAGGCCAAGTGACACATTTTTCTTGGCTTCTATTTTGGTTTATAGTCCCTATTTAGATTCGCTTTGCCTTCTCAGGGGTTCTGGTGGCCCACAGAAATACTCTTTTCACTAATTAGTGGCCTGAGGCCAGCCAATCAAACTTTCACTATGGTGACATTTTGTCTATTACCTTGGGAGGCCACTGTACTGAGTTCTGAAAACTAAAACAGTGCTACCCTCCAAGGCTCTTCCCGTCAAGTTCAGAGCTCAGGATACCACTCATCATGAGAGCAAAGCAGTATTGTGGGATTTAGGAGGGTTTCTGACAACAAGGTATGTATCCAATGGATCAACCCAAGAATCAGAAGATGGACCTGGGACTGCGCATAGGTCTAGCGTCATTAAAGGTCTAGGTGTGGAAGAGACAGCACCTATTGCTGAAAGATGAGCATGTGGGGTTGCTAGCCAGATTCATTCCTACTAATAAGCATTGTTAAGACAACTGGACTACAGTTCAGTGTGCTTGCCAAGCATATGCAAGGCCCTGAATTTGATGTCTAGCAAAAGTCAGCAAGAAAACACGACTTACTTTTACTATGTATTACTAAGGAAATAAATTTTCTACTTTTAAGTTTTCATGTTTGGTTCTAGTAGTATTATCAGAACTGCCACATAACATCCCGTCTAACAGCTCTGTAAAGTTGAACCAGCAGCCTTTCATAGTCATATTTCTCTACATTTAAAATGAAAGAGCTTGTGGCTGAATAGTGGCTACACAATTAAGAGCACTTGTTTTTGTAGAGACCCCAGCATTAGTTCCTCCCTCCCACATTATGAGTCACAACCATCTGGAACTCTAGTTCCAAGGGATCCAACTCCTTCTTTGACCATCCCTGGGCACCAGGCACATGCATGGTACATAAGCATATATATGTGTAAGTAAGGCATTTATACACATGAAAATAAATAAATCTAAAAAATTAAAAATTAAACATCTCCAATGTTCCGTAGTGTCGGAATATTGTCTCTCTCCTAGTCTAGAGTCAGTTGTCATAACCTTCAGTCTGTCCATAAGACCTTCTAAATGTAGCATGGATAGCAATTAATCAAAGGAGGAGGGACACACTATTAAAACTTATTATTTTGTATATGTTTTAAAGTGATGGGTAAAGGCTTGCTGTACACTTTAACACACTGGCTAACTTTGGTGTCCACTCTCCACGGGAACAGAAGAGTGACCATACAACAGGGTGGGCAGCGGCACCCTCTTCCTCAGGGATAACATGCTTCCTTTTTTTAGAATAAGTTCCTTGTCAACACCCTTATGGGTCAAAACAATGATTGTCTAGTTAGAGCCAAGGAGACACAGTTCTCCATAACCGTGTTCATCGAACACTGGAGCTGTCTCCCTCTATTGCACGGTTCCCTCAGAGCACACTGGGTCTCAGGTTATCTGCCAAGAATGCACATATACCTAAAGCTGAAGACTGTTATTCATGCACACAGATCTCAATGCAGGTGATGTTTTTCTTTTTTCTTTTACTAATAGGAATACATGAGCAACAAAGTTGGAAGTCTCAGTGAAGTGATAGTAGCTGACAATGCTATATGCCTTGTACAATGTTGAGATTAAGTATCTGGGACATGGCCCTTGTGACAGAGTTACAGCTCCAACATATGGCCAGCGATATGCTATGGAATAAGCCTTATAGGCTTCAGCACCCTTCTGTAGGCTTGTTGTGGTATTTTGAACAGGAAGATTGGACAATGTAGGCTACTTTATTTCTTTTGACATACCATTAATTTGACAAAAAGGACATATGCATGTACAATACCTGAGAAGGATAGAGCAAGAGAATGTCTTTACTATTTAAAGTTGCATCATTTGGCACTGTAGAGGTCATTCAGCAAAGTGCATGCTTGTCAAGAAGGGGTACCTGAGTTTATCCCCAGAACCCAGGTCAAAAACAAAACAAAATAAAAACCTACGCGTGGTGGCATGTGCGTGTAACCCCAGTGCTGGAGAGCTGGGAACAGGCAGATCCTTGGGTTTTCAGGCTAGCCAGCCTAGGCTAGGTGGCAAGTCCTAGGTAGCTACTGACCCTATCTCAAAACTAAAGGAAGAAAAGAAGGTGGAAACCCTAGAGGAATTACAGCCAATGGCATTATCCATACACACATACATACATAAAACAGTTGAAATTGTTTCTACTGGCCCAGATTATAATGAATGCACCCAATATAGGATATGGATAGGCTAAAACTTAAGGTCTCAATTTGTAATTTCAATTTAACTTACCACATTAAAATCTAAGTATTTTTTAATCCATGATTTAGCTTCTTGAAATTCAGTCTTCATTCCCATAATAAAAAGTGTATCCAGGGCATCTACTATTGTTGCTCCTTTGATGTTGCCTGAAAAATCCCAAAAACATCTCTCAATATTCTTGAGATATATACAAATTGACCCCAGCTAGAAAAAACTAAGAGTAATTCTCATCTCATTAACAAACCATAATACTGTATAGAGCATTAATTTCCTTCAGAAAAATAAAATGTAAAAATACAGCATAGCAAACCAAAATTTTCATAGGCTATAGGCTATGAACACCAATCTTTAACATTTGTTCCAAGTTGGGAAAACTAAACCTCTTAGAAACATCATTTGTGAATGCCTTCTCTAGAATAAAGAGGAATGACTAAGCCTGAAGCAAAGGGGCAGTTGTCATTAATTTTTGTGTAATTGCACTGGAGTGCACCTGTGTGAAATTTGCTGGATGTACAATTATCACCATGGTAGCTCTTTTAACTCATTGCCATAGTCACCCTTTATCTGCAGACAATATGTTCCAAGAACACTGGGAGATATCTGCAGTAGCAGATAGTACTGACCCTCACATATACCACGTTTTTCCTAAGCATAAATACATTTAATGCCTTTTCCATTTTAACACTCAAGCACTTTGGCCATAACTTTTGCAGTTCGATGTGGGACAACAAAACTAACGCAGATTTCTTTTTTTCTTTCTTCCCAGTTCCATTGGACAGAAGACTCATCTTGACTATAACAGCTCTTAGCGACCTCAGCACACAAATTTCCTGCTCCATTTCCACATTAAGCTGAATATCAGGTACTTTTATTTCTATTGTTAAATGAAATACTTTATTGACTTCTCTTTGGCACACTCGAATTGTCAGCATGGTACCCTTGTGCTTTTCAACCATTAGTAAAATAGGGTGACGTGGACACAAAGAATAAAATGCCAACAGAGATGAAGCAAAACAGCTACCAAATGACTGACAGGTAGTTAACACATAGTGTGGACACTGGGATGCGTCCCATCCAGGCTAGGACAAAGCTGGAGGTGGTTACAATTTCAGGATGTTTTGCGGGATTGTATACCATTTGAAGCATAAGGATTCTTATTTTTAGAATCTTCCTCAGTATTTCAGACCGCTGTTGGCCACAGGTGATAAAAATCCAGAAAAAAAAAAGCACAGGTAAGTAGGAGGTGTTCTGTACTCTGACATGAAATCCCTGCCATCTATAATGTTGGCTCATCCCAACGCCCTTCTCTTGTCCACCCAGACCCAGGTTCCATATATTTCCTCTGAGCTCGCTCTGCATGTAGATTTTACACGTCTCAGGCACCCATTACGTTCTGTCATCTCTAGTCTACAAACCTCCTTAAAGGAGAGAGATTATGTTTTGTTCATTCCACATTCTCCATGGTGCCCTTTATGACTGCCGCAATGATGTTCAATCAGTGGCTGTTGAAAGTCTGAGTACTACATTTATTCAGTGCAAATCCATAAATAAAAATGGAACACACTTCAATGCACTCACTGTTCAAGTAACAAGCTGCGAAGCTATCATTAGGAAACCAGCAGTAGTAGAATATTAAAATACTTAACTTTCTAAAACAGACTAAATTTAAATCTTACATAATGGTAAACACATGAAAGATAGAAAACTTTTAGTGTCACACTTGATCCTAATCCAATGTTCTTAAAATACAGGGGTGTGTGTGTGTGTGTGTGTGTGTGTGTGTGTTTACAAAGCTATGGAATCAAGGGAAACACTAAAGGGAATGTTTTCAGGTCACACTTTGAAACATGATAACAGATTCATATCATCACTGGTTTCTAATTTCTCAGTCATTAAGAGCTGTTTTTGGAGTTCAGCTCAGTACTTAGCCATGGGAGTCTGCCTCTTCTTCCATCAGCCACTGAATGAAGTTTCTGTTTCCCAGACTCTCTGGCCATGGGATTGTAGGCTGGCACTCCCCAGATCTATGTCTAAAATACATATATGAGAGAGTACATGCCATGTTTCTCTTTTTGTGACTGCGTTACCTCACTCAAGATGGTTTCTTCTAGTGTCATCCATTTGCCTGCAAATCTCAGGATTCCATTGTTTTTTCTGCTGAATAGTACTCCATTTTGTAAATGTACCACACTTTCTCTATCCATTCTTCAGTTGAGGGGCATCTAGGTTGCTTCCAAGTTCTGGCTATTACAAATAACGCTGCTATGAACATAGTGGAACAGACATCCTTGTTGTATGAATGGGCATCTTTTGGATATATGCCTAAGAGTGGAGTTGCTGGGTCTTGTGGTAGGTTTATTCCCATTTTTCTGAGGAATCTCCATACTGATTTCCAAAGTGGGTGAACCAGTTGGCACTCCCACCAGCAAAGGAGGAGTGTTCCCCTTTCACCACATCCTCTCCAGCATAAATTGTCATTGGTGTTTTTGATTTTAGCCATTCTGACAGGAGTGAGATGGTATCTCAGAGTTGTTTTGATTTGCATTTCCCGGATGGCTAAGGATGTTGAGCACTTTCTCAAGTGCCTCTCAGCCATTTTAGACTCCTCTATTGAAAATTCTCTATTTAGTTCTGCAGCCCACTTTTTAATTGGATTCTTTGGTGTTTTGGAGACTTGCTTCTTGAGTTCTTTGTAAATTTTGGAGATCAACCCTCTGTCATATGTGGGGTTGGTGAATATCTTTTCCCATTCTGTGGGCTGCCTTTTTGTCTTGCTGACTGTGTCCTTTGCCTTACAGAAGCTTCTCAGTTTCAGGAGGTCCCATTTATTAATTGTTGATCTCACTGTCTGTGCTACTGGTGTTATGTTCAGGAAGCTGTCTCCTCTACCAATTCGTTCAAGGGTACCACACACTTTCTCTTCTAAGAGGTTCAGTGTGGCTGGATTTATGTTGAGGTCTTTGATCCATTTGGATTTAAGTTTTGTGCATGGCGATAAACATGGATCGACCTGCAGTCTTCTACATGCCAGCCTCCAGTTATGCCACTGGACTGAACTCAAGAAAGCCAGTAACAGAGAGGGAGGACTGATGACCAAAGGAGTTAAGACTGGGCTGGTTTAATCCCAGAAACAGCTGACCTGACAAGGGTTAACTCTTGAATCCCAGGCTGATGCCTGGGAATCCAACATGGGACTGATCAAGACCCCCTGAATGGGGGTGTCAGTGAGGAGGCCTAGGTAATCTATTGAGACTTGGGCAGTAGATCAGTATACATCCCGAGTATACACATGGACTTTGGACTCCCATCCAACAATGTGAGATGAGTTCTCATCCTGAACCCTTGTGGGGAGGATCTAGGCCCTGGCCTGGATGAAATGACCGACTATGGACAACCCCATGGAGGGCCTCACCCTCCCTGGGGAAATGAGGGGATAATGGGGGAGTTGCGGGGAGGGCACGGGAGGAGGGGAGGGAAAAGGAGAGGGACCTGGAACTGACTTGTGGACCCACCATATTTCTAATCTAAATTTAAACATAAAAATAAAAAAAATTTAATGAAAAAAGAAAACTGAAAAAAAAGAGCTGTTTTTTGTTGTTGTTATACTTTATACTGAATATAACTGATCAAACACAAATGGTTCTCTTTGAGGACCAATTCTGTCAAAACACCAGCTCTGATTTTTTTTTCTTCTTTTTTTCTTTTACAGTGGAACTGGGAGGTGGCAACTCCTCGAGGTCACTTCTCATGTTCATTAGCATTGTTTTAGGTTAAGGAAGGAGCCTGTTTTCCTTTCCTGAGCAAACAGGTGACTTTCAAGTAACTGGAAAGAAACAGCCATCAGAGGAAGCATCAGTGTTGAAGGGCTCCTTGGATGCCAATGACTGGCAAAAATGAGGTTCACAGAGCAGATTGCCTCCTGAAAAACAGGCTGCTCTGGGGGTCCAAATTCTGAATAAGCCCCTGAATAACCACTCCAAAAAACTAGGGGGAAAGGAAAAGAAATATTCCTTTCTTCTATGGTTTGCTGAAAGAACACACAGGTACTTGAAGACAAAGAACTTGGCTCAGATGTGTCCAAAGAAGGCAATTAAAAGGTTTCCTCATTTTCATAAATAAGGACTTTTAATTTTTGCAGTAAGTCCCTGGTGTTGATTTTATTGTACAAAAAATCTTCCATAGCCTATTCTAATTTGAAAATGGAAATAGATTCCATTTGATTAACAGTCAATTTTGCTATATTAATATTTGAGGCCTTTTGTAAAGAATAGGTGCTTATCTGGTTCATAAAGTGTTTTTACTGATAAATCCAGTGAAAACTGTAGAAACAAAAATACTCAAGATGTTTTTAAAGTTTATTATTAAGACAACTGATCTATTAACAGAGATCTATTCAATGAAGATTATGACAAATGAACACAAAACTGAGTTATCTGATCAACCGTCACTATGAGGAAAGGAAAATAGGGTAATTACGTCTAAAGATTAACTTATTATTTATTTTGTGTGTATAGGTGGTTTGCCTTCGTGTGTGTTTGTGAACCACATATGTGCAGTGACTGTGGAGGTCAGAAGGAGACATCAGATCTTCTGGAACTAGAGTTAATAGACAACTGTGAGCTGTCATGTGGGTGCTGGGAATCAAACATAGGCCCTTTCCTAGAGCAGCCAGAGCACTGGCCATCTGCCAGCTCAGATTCAGGTTTTTTTTTTTTTTTTTTTTGGTTTTTATGAGACAAGGTTTCTCTGTATTGTTTTGGAGGCTGTCGGTCCAGCCCGGCCTCGAACTCACAGAGATCCACCTGCCTCTGCCTCCCGAGTGCTGGTATTAAAGGTGTGTGCCACCACTGCCTGGCCAGATTCAGGTTTCTAATAAAAGTTATAATAGTAAACATTAATCAGGGAAGGACGTCTGACTTACCATGAAATTCCAGTTTCTCTCTTAAACTTGTACCTCTGCTCTTTCTTGGGACCTTGTCACAGAGTCCTGAGAGAGACGACTGCAGCTGTATCTGAAGTCACTTCTGCTGCAGGCACTCACTCCCGTCTTAAGTTCCCTGTCTCTGAACTGAATCATCACGGAGACAGAGCAGTCCACTCTTCCATGCAAGGCCCTCCTCCCTGCATGGGATCCCAGTGGCTCCAGGTACTCTTGGTGTCTACCAAACCACCTCACGCTTTGAGAATTCACTGTTTATATGCATGCTGGCTGCACTGCACTATTAACTCTTGCAATGACTTGGATTATCTCCTTCAACACCAGTGACAGAACTGGAGCTAAATTGATGAAAGTCCCTAAGACGGAAGAGCAGGGCACCGGGATTAGGAACATGGTGTCGGTCACACTGGACTTCCTGTCCCGCTGTGCCAGTGCATAGGTAACTATCTGAGAAAGTTCTCTGTGTTTCATCCTCTTTTCTCACCAAAAGTGCACATAAAATGAAGTGGAATGATATGTGGCAGGGTGGCACTATACAATAATTGCTCCGTAAGTGTCACCAGAAATTGTTACTTGTTACATGAACTGGTTGGTACCACTTAAGATGTTCTGTTACAGTATGGAAAGTTGTGCTGCTGAGTTCGGCGGCCACAGAGTTACTTCTTTTCCTTTGCCCCATTACTTATAGTTAAAGTTTTGAGTGTTGGAAAGAGACTGAGCCCAGGAGGTGTCTCTGAGGACGTCTTTGTTCAGAGGAATCCATCAAACATTGCTGGTGGTTTCCTTCTTTCCGTAACAGGAACATTATTAATACAAACAGTACCAATCAGAGTGTTGCTATGAAGCAGATAGCTGGCTTGCCTTGACTTCCACAAAACAAACAGTGGAAAACTACAGACAGCCCAAACTGAGTTACAGAAGGGATCACCACGGTCCGTGGCTTCAGCAAGTTTATCTATAGAGACAGAACTTTTATGTAGCAGGAAGCCTTTAATGCAGGTAACCAAATACTCTTCTACAGGAGTCACCCCAGACCTTAAAACCCTGCTGTGTACTCCATCCCTGGAAGTCAGCCCTGGGCATCACTTTGTTTTATAGTTACATGGGTCTCTCTGACACAGAGCTGGTGTTCTTTCTAGAAGACACATTACATGCAATCTTTCTGCAGTTCCAGCAGGGGTTCAAGTTTCCTAGCAACATGGAGGGCCTGGAGAATCACAGAGACCCACAAGCCTTTTGTCTATCAGTAAGTTCAGGGAACTTAGAGAAAAAGACACTAGCATAAAAACCCAGAGTGGTGGTTCACAACTCTAATTTCTGGGGAGGTATGGTAGTTTGAATGACAATGCCCTACCATTGACTCATATTTGAATACATGGACCCCGGTGTGTGGGAAGGATTCTGAGGTATGTCTCTCATTGGGAGTGGCTTTGAGGGTTCTAAACCCATGCCATTGCTAGTTACTCTTTACTTATCTCCTACTCCTGTCTAAGAATATACGTTTTCAGCTACTACTCCAGAGCCATGCTGCTATGCTCCCCACCATGATGGTCACTGGCCGCCTTCTGAAACTGGAAGTCCCATTAAATACCTTCTTCTATAATTGCCTTGGTCATGGTATCTCTTCACAGCAACAGAAAAGTAACTATGACAGGAGGCTAATGTAGGAGCAGTGCTGTAAATTCAAGGACAACCAGGGCTATGTGCTCAATTCCAAGGCAGCCAGGGCAACGGGAGTGAGAACTTGTCTCAACAACCAAAAACAGGGAACCCTCAAATCAAAGCAAAGCATACTCACCAAATAAACTGCTTGAATGGCCTTCTTTTGATATTGGCTTCAGTTCATTTAAGCCCCAGGCATAGCGTTTATAATTATTCCAAGCATGGTTCATCATCTGAACAGAGATAAAATGAGATTACAATGTGAACTGGGTTGTTTTTGTTACAAGATAGATCATAGTCTTTGGATTTGAAGGTTATGCCATTAAAATTCAGTGCTTAGTCTAAAAGGCTGATGATTAATTAAGAGAGAGACGGCTGTGTAAATTAGGACAGACATGAACAGAACACATGCATTACTTCTTTATGGTGACAAATACAAAGTTGCCTTCTTGGAACCCATTTAATCCTATTTATTGATATCTATATATTGATCATCTTCAAAATTCAGTCCCTGAAAACAGAAATTTAGTTTATCCTAAAATGATGAATCATTCCTATATTTATCTATTTCATTCTCATAAGATAACAGATCTGGAAACTTTGAATTCATATTTTTGTACAAGGTCCTTCCTATTTTTGTTTACATAGACAAATATTCAAGGTTATCACTTTAAATACTTCAATGCTTTTCGACCAAGAAATATGAAAAAATGTTTTGAAATAAGTAAAGAAGAAAAAAGAAACCCTACAGTTATGCCTAGAGTTAGAAAAACTGTATTATAATCGTTTTGAATAAAATATGTATTTGTGTACTCCTATGTTAACTGGAGATAGAGCCTATTTATTCACAAATTGGAGTTCAATAATATTTTTAAATATAGCCAGCTGTCCCATAAATTAGTTGAATAAAAAAGTCTTATCACTCAAAGACTATGTGTAATAGTTACTATTTTAAGGACTGGAAATTGAACACAGGGCCTCACACATAACAGACAAGCACTCCGCCACTGACCCATTTCCTTAGACCTCTTAGGTTTTATTTCAAGACAGGATCTCACTAAATTGTCTGGACTGAACTTGAACTCACCACGTAGCCCAGTCAGAGATCACAATCTTCTTGACTCAGCCTCCAAAATTGTCAGGCTTATAGTCCTATGCTACCAGGCCTGAGTTATAATTATTTTTATAGAGTTTTAAAAGCGTTAAGGACTCCTCAATTCATGCTTATTCATGCCACTATCTTATAGAAACAGTCACCAAAATATGGACATGATATGAAAATGTTCTCATTTTATAGGGCCAATACAAACATCGCATACAGGGCCAAAGAGGCAGCCTATCAGTGAAGAACACTTATTGTTTCTGAAGAGAACCCAGGCTTGGCTCCCCGAGATAACACAATAGATCACAACTATCCACAGTTCCACTTCCAAGGGACCTGATACCTTCTTCCAGGCTTCTCGGGCTCTAGGCACAAGCATGATGCACATACACATTCAGGGAAATTGCACGCATAAAATAAACAAATCTGAACATGCTTTTGTGATATATCGCATAAATTTGTTTACACGATTCATGGGCTAGTTATCACAAAATTTCTTCAGTAAGATCAATCTGACTCATTGATCCAGACTCCATGAATGTAGTATCAGGGAGGAGGCCTCAGAAATCTCTGGGGCCTTGGGTAGTAGATCAGTGTTTACCATGGTGTACAAATGAACTTTGGGGGCCCATTCCACATGGAGGGATGCTCTCTCAGCCTGGACACATGGGGAAGGGCCTAGGTTCTGCCCTGGATGAAATGACAGACTCTGGAGATCCCCCAAGGAGGGCCTCACCCTCCCTGGGGAATGATGTGGGGATTGGGCTGGGAGTGGGGGATGGGATGTGGGTGTGGGGCTGGTTGAGGGACAAGGCAGGGGTGAGCTGGGATTGACATTTGGAGCATGCATGTTTCTAATTTAAATTAAAAAAGATAATATAAATAAATCTAAAAAAAATCAATCTGACTCAAAACAATCTATACATGTACCTGACCACAATAATGAGTACCTTCATTTACCTATCTTCTATATTATTTCCCATTCTCACCCATGTTACTACTAACAGCTACCAAGAATCTATACTATCTTCTGGGGATTCTGGCTGTTTCTCTTCTGCGTGGTACTCCAATTTTTCCAGAATCCTTTAAAATTTATCTTCAAGCCATATTGGTTAGGTAGATAAGGAGACTGAAGCTCAGAACTTAAAGCCAAATAAAGCTCGACTCAGAGTCATGGCATTACAGCCAAGGATTCAG